TATATATATATATATATATATATATATATATATATATATATATATATATATATAATAACAATAACAGCAACAGCAGCAGTAACAACAACAACGATAATAATAATAATAATAATAATAATAATAATAATAATAATAATAATAATAATAATAATAATAATAATAATAATAATAATAATAATAATAAACGGGGCGGGTTCGGGTGGGTACTACACTCCCTATTACCTGCCCCGTCCCCATATCTTGAAATCGAAGAAAATTCAAACCCGGTCAAAACGAGTTTTCCCCGTCAAATTCAGGGCGGATTCGGGCGGGTACCCACAGGTATGGGTTATATTGTCATGTCTAATAATAATTGAATAAAAATAGACGTATACAATTATTTTTATCCTAGTTCTTTGTTAAGCAAGTTACTGCAGTCCACCCTGCAAGGTGATTTACCTTATACACAAGGACTTAATCCACTATAATCAACCAGATTACAGACAACCACAATAAATTCGATCAACCCTATTGAAATACCCAATAAGTCAGTTGATACTTATTGCAAACCAATATGACTGCAACCAAAGTCTTCTTGAGAATCCAGACTACATAGAGTCTCTCAAGGAATCTATCAACAACAGTTGATTACAAAGATATGACAAAAATGCTTTTACACAAGCAGATTACACAATGTTTAAGTACAACAACACAAAAGTGTTGATATCAAGATACGAACAAAAGTTCCTTGCTTATTTCTCTACAGAGTTTTTGTGCGCGGTTTGGTGTAGTTTTGTAGAACTGGTCGTTTATTTCAAAATCTTTCAAGTACTTCTTTTATAGCTAAAAAGAAGAGATCCATTGGAGGATAGAATAAGAAATACAAATACAATTGTATTGCTCCCAATGATCATGGTGAGACTGATAGACAATAGTACACAAAGGTTTGTCCTTGCGCCACTATAGAGAATAGATTCACAGAGTACTTTTGTATTTTTATACTCACCATCACACGCGATCCCTTAGTCTTGATCTTCGTCTTCTATCCCTTCAGAGGCTTCTGATTTGTTTGTTGATGAAGCATATTGTAGAAGGATCAGAACTATATATCTTCCAGAACCTAAGTCTTTAGAACTTTACAAGACTTATTCAAAGAACTCTTGCCTTCTCAGTCTTCAGCACTTGATCTTTAGAAGAATGTCTTGAGGTCTTCAGAACCCGTTCAACAGAACCTTGTCTCCAGCATCTTCAGAACTTGGAACAAAGAAGTAAAAACTTTAAAAGGCCTCCAAAGCTTCCTTGTACTAGTCACGATCGGAATCTCTTTTACTAATGCTCTTTAAAACCGTTGCATAAGACGCATTCTTTAATCTTGACTTAACTTGTAACAAATCAAATGTATTCTTCCATAGTGTCGAGTTCAGAACCTGATGACGTCACACACCTTCTTACCAGAGTCAGAACTTGTATAACAAAAGTCACACACTAGACAAACTGTTAGAGTACACAATTATTCTCAAAGATAACATGTAAAGTTATCATCAAAACATAAGGTCAGATGTATAACCAATCTTGTTCTTACAGAATAGAGTGCTAGAAGTTGTGTATTGTAGCATCCCGAAACAACTTGTAAATATTCTAATGAAAATTTTTAAAATTTAACATTTTGTCCAGTTGAGAGATGAAATTGGTGCTGTAGAATTTAGTTAGCTGAATATGAATTAAGAGATGATATTTAAAATAAGTCATATTCAAAAACATTGTTAGTCAGAAGCAGAAGATTCTGAGGTGACCGTTACAGAAGTGTGTTTAGTTTCTGGATTTGTTTTGTTTTCGCAGTGCCTACGTGGTATAGTTTTCTTACGTGTCATTTTGATTTGGTGTATTTAAACACCTTAGTGTAACTAGTTTTTTATAACGTGAATTTACAATATAATTCCTCTCTCAAAGAAAATTTTGTTACAATTGTTTTTCTCTATCTTCATCTTCAATCTTATGCTCCAACAATCCATAAATTTGCAAAATGCAAATCTTTCTACTCAGGATGTTCTCACACCAAATAAAATTTCTGAACCAAAAGTCCAATTGAGACAACAATTTCTCTAGCCACATGTAAATGTGGAACAAATAAATTAGCATACCTTGGATGACAAAGTTTATTATCTATATTCTCCCTATAATAAATAAGAGAATTCTTCTAAAATGCTGGTTTGGTTTTGATTTCGTGAGATATACTCTGGAAATGAATATGCTTTGGTTTATCTCTGAATATTTGACTACCCATGTATGAGAACGAGATTTGGCCCTTGTTGAAACCTAGCCAATTCCGAATGTTACCTTCTCTTTGTAAGGTTATTGCGCGGTAGTAGAATTTACTTTTGTCCTTACATAATTTACTCCTTAGTGACTCATAAGATTTGATTTTCCTCTTTGAAGGGATGAGGACTGGCCATAATAAGGACATCTCCACACATTGTTGACAAAGAGCACTTCCATCATACAATTAAAATAAGTGTGGGGAAAAAAATAAAGGGGCCAAGTCTTACTGTGTGTTTCGTAGCAATGCAAATGACTGCTACTGCAAGTTTACACGCTCTCCACCGCGAGTTTTCTTGAAGCTACAACAAGTAGCTTTTACTAACCGTGCGGTCCCGCCGTGTTTTTTAAATATTCCAAACATAGGCTTAACCTTCTAAACAACTTCAATTCTTCCACGCATCACCCAAAAACTAAAAATTCTTAGCACACTACTCACAAGTATGGTTATGAAACTAGGTAAGTTAAATTGGAATCAAGCTAACCAGAGCCTCTCCTGCAAGCTCAGACAAATTCATGAGATTCTATGACACTGTAAAAACAAAACAAGTCTTATTGCATACTTACATATGATCATCCAAACAATGAGTTTAACAAGGTTGCCAAGACGGCGGGATCTAGAAGAAATCGGAACATACAATTCTGATATAGTAATGGTAACAGAATAACTAAACACTAATCTGACAATATTAAGAAATTATTCATCATCCATATATAATATCAAAAGAAACACAAGCATTATAAACAGACACGTCTCTCTACAGTGTAATCAGTTTCAATTAATGAAATCATTTTTTCACTTTCACATGATATGAATTCCTCTTTCTCTCGGCACTTCTTAATTTCTAATAGGCGCTAAAAGATGAAGAGTAAAAGAAATAATGATTACAAAGTTATCTTTTAGAGGCAGAGACTATTGTGTAAGAGTTGTATCATGCTTGTGGACTCTAATTCGTAGTTACATCAATACCATTCATTCATAGGGCTCCTAAAAATCATCGAGTTAGTGAATCCCGATACAATAATTAAAGCACCAGTGAGCAGAAGCAAAATCTGAAATTTCCTATGTGCATATAACATATTACTGACAACACTTTCATCAAACAATTAAATAATGCAGAAAAAAATATGGACACTGGTCCAGTTCTAAATCGTCTAAACAACAAATTCTTCCACAGTATCCAAACAACTGAAAATTCTTAGCCCGACACTCACGAAAACGGTTATGAAATGAAGTAAGCTTAATTGGAGCCAAGCTAATCAGATCCTCTCATACAAACAAATGAAAAAGAAAACTCTAGAAGCAATGTAAAAACAAAACAAGCCTCAGTCACATAATTACTAATAATCATCTAAACAGTAAGTTTAGTATATTGCAAATTAGAACACCTATAACATGGTTGCTTATACCATGGGATCTAGTAGAGGTAAGAGTATAACAAATAAATCAAGTAAGAGGGAAAAACTAACAAAAAGAAAAGAATATCCAGACATAGATTTTCAGTATATCATTCATTGAATCTAGTCAAACTACAATATTTGAATTGTAATGTAAATTGTACCCTGTTCTACAAAATATGTACTTAAATTACTTATAGAGTTGAAGACTTTCACCTGCCTTTACACAAAAACCAGCAAACTATAACGCAGAAAGTTGCTACACTACACATGTTTCCAAAGAAACCTAAAGAGCGTTGTCAAGAGGGTCATAATGTGCTCAACAAAATGAGTACTGTAACGGGTGAAATTAGCCATTTGTTCCAATAAGCTCCATCCTTTTTCTTCCAACCATTCCACCAAGTTCCATCAATAGCACCAGATGTCCTTGAAGTTGGGGTTGTCGATCTAGAATTCAAAACGACTTCAGTTAAACAGGAGAGTGAAAAAGAAAAACAGGAAAACAGAATAAAAATACAAAGGATAGATCTCAAAAGTACAGCTATTTATCTTTGTTAAAAAGCAAAATATTAGCTTCAATCATGATACCACAGGTGACACGAGGTTATGTTACTAAAAATCAGATTCTACAAAAATATCATTATCAAGTAAAGAAATAAAATAATATCGCCTCTGGCATTAGCACGGATGTCAAATTGGAACAGGAAGAATATCTAATTGCAAAATATATATTTATGCTTAAATATACATAGATACTAGAGTTCTAAGCATGGAAATAAGATCATCAATTAATTCAACTTACCACTTGTACAAAATGTTGAAGTAAATGTAATTTAATCAAATTTGAAACAGATAGTTTTAACTTTTCTTATCTACCAATATATATTTACAGATATGATGAATCTATTCAAGTTTGTTGATGCCTCGTAAATTTGTTTCCCACTTACACCTTTCATTAAGCTATATTCAAGTTCTTTTCAAACTTAAATAATGTATTACTTTCCAAAATGAGGATTATTTCATGCTTAAGCTTTGTTTAAAATGTTTTGAAGACCAACCCAATAAAGAATAACCAAAGATAGAATGAATGTCTTCATGGGAGATACAACTTCTAGCTACTCAACTATAAAGAAAATGCATCTTCTAACTTATAATAAACATAAAAACAAAACAAAACAAATCCATTCAATTAGTAACCATTCAACAATCAAATCAAAGTCAGCATAAAAAAATAACCACACAATATATACAACAAACGCATATTAACATAAATTCAGTGAAGTAAATCTTCAAATAGGAACTTACTTTCAACGAACTGAAACCAAACTTTCAACATAATCCTTGCAAAAGGCCCACCGCGGTTTATTGGTAACTATCTCTACTCTATTATTCGCCCAATCATAGATAATAGCTAGCAGCTCTCGCTTGTTAGCCAATACCAAAGTATTCTTATTCTCAGAAATGTGCAATGGCAACCAGCATCCAATGTGTTGAAGATTCTGATATTTAATTCTATAGAGTTGAGTCCAAGACTCTCCAACCCCAAACTCCTTCATCTGCCATATAACCAAACAAGTCTGTTTGAAATCATGACAAAAACAAAGAGACTCCATCAACACAGAAATAGTCGGCTCAATCAGCGGCACTTCCTCCAAACCCTGCGGAGGTATTAGCTCCACGTGTCTCTCAGCACCCAGATCAAGCGAAATGATCACAAATTGATCAAGAGTAATATCATTACTATGATAAAACCTATCCGCAGAGTAAGAATTCCGTAGTGCCAACCAGATAAGACTCCCATTCAAGTAAACACCATGATTCTCACTCGGAAGAGTTAACCGGAGAGGACCAACTGGAAAACCTTGAATGTCCCTCCAAACATTATCCTTCAAACTAAAAACTCTCACCTCTGTTCTCAATTGAGTTTCACTGTCACCAGTTTCACCACCAATTTCACCGTCACCAGTCAATCTTAACGCGGCAACTTTATAATTATCAGTTAAACTATCATAGCCAAATGCATATCTAGAGAAGAAATAACGATGCTTGCAATAATCCTTAAAATACCCTAATTTCTTAGATAAAGTATTTGTAGCTGGATTATAGAAATTAAGCCAGCAATCTCTATAGCTGCCAGTGAAACTAGAATAATGAGCAAAGCATAACAATCCATTACAAGAACCAACCAACCAGTAATGGACAGTATCCAACAATGGATGGAAAGGATTCTCGGGAACGGTGATCAGAGGATTCTCGAGAAACTTACTGATAGGGAGAGTTACAAAACGGAAATCTGCTACGCACTTTCCTGAGACAAGTGTGAGCTGAGGGTTTCGTGCGGATCGACGGAGATGCGTTTTGATAAAGGTGGGATCGGAAATGAGGGAGTTGAAGAACTTACTCACACATTTCATTTGCATGAGGGATTTGACGGAGAGGAAGGAGACAACTTCCGCCATGATTTCGTCGGGGAGGGTTGGTGGTGACGACGGCAAGCTGGGCGCACGCCGAGTTTGAGAGGGAGGGAGATCCATTTTCAAGTTGGTGAGTGACGGAGTTGGAGACTCGATGGAATGAAAGTTGAATAGGTCTACTGTGTGCTGTGCCTCTCATGTAACCACTTTTGTTTTTTTTATATTAAAAATTCTTTTTTCAAATAACTATATTTTTCAAAAAAAATTCTCAAACTAATCATTTTTCAAAAAAACAAATTTACCACACCCAAGAATAGTCCCTCTATGTGGCGCATGCATGCTATTTAGAGAGGAGGTGTCACACTGCATGATTTGTCATTTTCTATAAAGTCATGCAGTGTGACGCATACATGTAATGACAGAGAGGAGGTGTCATCTGTTGTGGCTTGACAGAGTTATATGATTTTCTATAAATGCAATCACTCATCCTCTTCATTTTTTCACACCATTTGTCACATAACTCTTAGAAAATGTCTTCAACTCCCTTGTCAAGGTTTTTCACTGATCAAAAGAGATGCGTATGTTATTTTTTCGGCGACAAAGCCTCCGGTGAAGATCAAACTCTGGAACATGAAGACGCTCGAGCATTTTCAGAGGCACTTGATTCGCTGGTTGGAAGGAGACATTCCTGAAGGTGAACAGATCAGAAAAATAGAAAGGTAAATTATAGTGAGGAACGAAAATGGAGTAAGTTGATCATGGAAAAAGGTGAGATGCGACGTTGATGTCATGATGATGATGCTTGGACTAGACGATATTGTGTTGATGGTTTTTATCTCTTAGATATTATGATTTGTTTAGTTGTTTTTTCTGTTTATCATGTTGTGTTGTTGTCCTGAGTTTGTGGTGTTGTAATTTTTTGAGTCATTATGTGAAGGTTGTTGTAATCGAATGATAAATTGAACACGAAATGATAACCCGAATTTAAATTGAAATATATTGCGTGCAACAAATTAATTACTCCGGAAAGTTTTCTATAAAAAAAGTTAGGTTGCAGAGCTAGACCCAATATTCAGACAATTGTTTCAATTGTGTCCGGGAAGACGACATGTATTGCATAATCTTATCATTTTGTTAGTTGTATCCATTTTAGTTCTAATACGAGTGCTTTTTGGACGCCCCTTTTTCTTCTATCGCATTTGTTCATTGTGCCAAATAATACCCCCTTGATAAGCAGGTCAATAATCCTCCTTTGCCAACACGGACAAGGTATTGATGTATACACTTAAAACGCTCTTTACTGTGTACACGGAGGATATATGTTGTATTGGATCCAAGCGAACATGCGAACATGCTGTTATGACATGAGAGCAAGGCATGTGAAATACTTGAAACTTTCCGCAATCACACTAACCTCTATCTAGTTCGACTTGATAATATCCCATTGGTTATGAGTATGTCCCTTACGACGTACAAATTGAACTGTACTTACGACATGCCGGTTTTGGTATGTTACTCAACATAGTCAATTACCATGTTGACTATGAAATTATTCTCGCATTAGTGGAGAGATGGAGACCCGAAACTCACACCTTTCATCTTCCATGTGGTGAATGTACGGTCACACTAGAGGACGTGTACATGTTATTCGGTGTACCGATTGATGGTAAGGTTGTCAATGGCCGAGTCAACCAAGACAATGCCATATGCGAGGAACTTTTGGGAGTCTCTTTATTTGAACAAGGGTCTAGAGGCCAAGGTATTAATCTTCGTCTTCTTATAGAATATCATAGTAGTCTCGTAATAACCGAAAACTCTACCGAGCAAGAAAAATTGTGAAAGCTCGGTGTTACATAATGATATTATTTAGCCACTTTTTATTTCCTGAAACAACGGGTAATACTGTTAGTATCATGTGTTTACCCTTGTTAAAACAATTTTATAAAATAAACACATATAGTTAGGGTTCTGCTGTTTTGGCCCATCTATATAGTTCCTTGTGTAACAATGCATCGAACGACAGATGTTATTTTTATTCCTGCGCCTTTTTGCTCTAGACATGGTGCTGGTCAAGAATGCCGACACTCACCCCTCTACAACACAAGGCCATTCGTCTTTCCCTTTGCTATAAAGTAAGATTATGAAACCACAAATTTTACATATTATATACTGTAACCAACATGTATTAATTTATTATCCATTTTTTCTATGTAGGTGGTATGTTCTTGGGATGAATTAGAACAAATCCCCTAGAAACGTAATAGTAGCCTACCCAAATCTTACTGATCATGTTGGACCTGAAGAGGTATTAAACTTACATATTTTATACAATGCTTTCAATAGGTTAATTAAGTTTAATATTTTATACAAAAAAAAAATTCTCTACAGTTTGTATGGAGGCCGTATAAGGATATTGACCATGAGATTAACCCAGCTGATGCTGAAGTCTGGACTGCAAAAACAGCACTCATCAGGTTCACTACTGTGGAGATGCACCACAATGATCGTGTGAAGCTACAGTTCGGCATGCAACAGGGTATCCCAGACCCCTCTACATGTTTGGGATAATGGAATCTACTCAGAGTTGACGACCAATGGGGATTTACCGATTTGAGAGACTTCGCTAAAAATCAATGTCGTCAATGGCGGCATCAACGTGAATTGGTCCTAAGGGAGACGATCTTGCAAGATGACTTAAAATTGACTCTCCAATATTTGAGATGGTACACATTGGTTTAAAAAAATTTGTTTCTGTCTCGAGAGACATATTTGATCAACCCACACCAAAGAGTTGCAACATACGCCCAACAACAACCCCAACAACCAACCCCTCAACAATGCCAAACCCAACAACCAACCTCTCAATAATACCAAACCCAACCACAATGTCAATCCACTTAAATCCAACAACCATACACCACCACATTCAACCAAACATGGCATCAATTCATGCCACACACACAAACACAATACCAAGAGCATGACCCGACCCACCACCAACAATATGCATCATCCTCATCCTACCACAACACCCAAGATACATATGATACATCTCCTTCCTATCATACCACCCAACCTACATACAGTCAAACATCTCACCATCAAATTACCCAACCATCATACGGATTTCATACACCACAAGAACCTTGCTTTATTTCCATCACGATTCAACATCCCAATGCTATCAACCACCCCACCCACACATATCCTAACCAACAAGACCAAACTTCAACAACATGGGCACCGATCTCTTTTGAAGCACAACACAGTGGGGCGAAATGATCGATGAGATGTATGATCCTGATGTACCAGGACCATCACATCAAGCACCTCATAATCAAGCGAGTCAGAACAGACCCCAAACACCTCAGGAAAATCAACAGAGAGGAGTGAGACAAGGGGTGAGGCAAAGGCGAAGCCGTTTATGTCATACTGGGACCCGATTAGGTTGAGGGGACGTCCAAAAAAAATGTATCCATGTGTTGTGTAATATAAAATATTTTTAGTTACTTTTATTTTTATTTAAAAAAATTAATAAATACAATTGTCAAGCCACAACAGATGGCGCCTCCTCTCTGCCATTACATGCATGTGCTACACTGCATGGCTTTACAGAGGATGACAAGCCTTGCAGTGTGGCGCCTCCTCTCTAAATAGCATGCATGCACCGCACAAAGTGGTTACTCCTCTGTGTGGAGATTTTTTGTTTTGTTTTAAAAGTGGTTAGTTTGGTAAAAAATTTGAATATGTGGTTATTTGGGATTTTTTTTTGAAAAATGTGATTATTTGGAAAAAAAATTCATGAAAAAGTAATTTAAAATATGAAAATAGAAACTTTTTTTACATATAAATATTATTCTTAATATGTGAATAAGTAACGTATTTTTTTATAAGCAACTTTGTATTCTAATATGAGTATTAGGGATATTCAAATTCAAATAAAAAATTATGGCAACAAAAAATCAAAGTAAATTCAGAGGGTATTTACACCACTCATAGAAATTATAATTCAACCAATTTGCTCCAATTTGAAACCACCATCAAGAAAACATCTTAATTTTAAATACTATGTCATCCACATCACCTTCCTCATTATTGAAAACTATGTCATTTCTTGTCTTCCATAGATACCAAGTTGAAGCCAACCATATTGCTCCCTCTCTTCCACGCAACACTTTCCCCTTCAAACGAATTTGAAAACTCAAAAAGTGATTACAACAAGAGTTAATGGCAGAGTTCATCCCTTCAATATTTGGGGGTCCACGATGATCCATGAAAGTCATATGGGGCATTGGAAGTTTAAATATCCTTGTGCAATCTCAAACCCTAATTTTGGTCATCAGTGCTTAAGGAGGTGTCTTGAGCTGATCAAACCCTAGTGCAGTCTTGAGTCAAGGATATCTTATGAGTAAATTCTTGATAAGTGAGAGGGAAAATTTTGGGGTACAACAGTTTCCCCTGTTCAATCTTCTTAAGCATGAAGAGTTAGATTGGCGAGTTTTGCCATTCGTGACTCGAAGGTGGAAGATGATTGGACACTAGAGTGCCCAGAAATTTTCACTCTGTGATGTTGATGGTTGATGGAATGGGCTTAAAGATGCCATTTGAAGAGATGATAGAAAGTTATTGGAGATGGGCTTGTATATGCCATCTGAAAATGATTGTTGAACCGTATCTGTAAGTTGAAACTGAATGAGTACCAGAATAACGTTCGTGTCTGGAGCGTATCTGAACTGTATCTAAAGGCTGAAACTGAATGAGTATCAGAATGACGTCTGTGTCTGGAGCGTATCTGAACTGTATCTGAAAGTTGAATCTGAATGAGTATCAGAATGGCATCCATGTCTGGAGCGTACCTGAACTGTATCTGAAAGTTGAATCTGAATGAGTATCTGAATGGCATCCGTGTCTGGAGCGTATCTGAACTGTATCTGAAAGTTGAAACTGAAATAGTATCAGAATGGCATCCGTGTCTGGAGCGTATCTAAACTATATCTGAAAGTTGAAAACTGAAAGAGTATCAGAATGGCATTCGTTTCTGGAGCGTATCTAAATTGTATCTGAAATCTTTGAATCTGAATGAGTATCAGAATGGCATCCGTATCTGGAGCGTATCTGAA